AGAATGTAGCCACTGATAGGTGGACCATACTCCAGTGAAAAAGCACACACCTGAGAATATATGGGCAGAAAAAATTGGACTTGATGTCATTTTTTTAAAAAAAGAACACAAAGTTGATGGATATGAAATGGAGGTGAAGAAAGGAAGAGTTGGAAGGAGGGTGAATATGATCAAAATACATCATACAGAATTCTCAAAGAACTTAAAAAAAAAACTATGAAGGTAAAACTGAGCGGACCCACTAAGTGTTTTGCAGTTTGGTTATGTTCTCAGATCATTAATGAAACAGGAAAGGATATTTGTAGGGATATGGCTTTGGGTTATAAGTTGTCATGTTATTATGTCATTAGAGACAAGTTTCCAGCCTTACAGGCTGTCCTGGTTAGTTTCTTGTCAACTTGACACAGCTAGAATCATTTGAGAAGAGGGAACTTCAATTGAGAAAATGTTCCTAATTGAGAAATGTTGCCATGGCCCATGGCAAACTTGTAGGCCATTTTCTTGATTAATGATTTATGTGCGTGGACTCAGCTGGGGATAGTGCCAAGCCTGGGATGGTGGTTCTAGATGATATAAGAAAACAGGCTGAGTAAGCTATGAGGAGCAAGCCAGTAAACAGTGCTCCTCAGTGACCTCTGCATCAGTCCTGCTTCTGGATTCCTGCCTTGAGTTCCTGCTCTGATTTTCCTCAGTGGAAGATTATTGCCTGGAATTTTAAGCTGAAAGAAACTCTTTTCTCTCAAGATGCTTTTGATAATGCTGTTTTATCATACTAATAGAAAAGTAACTAAAACAGAAATTGATACCACGTCATGGGATACTGAAGTGACAGACCTATCTTTGCTTTGGAGAGGACTGTGGAAAGATTTTAGAACTTTGGGCTCAATAGCCATGGAGTGTTTGTGGCTTAGTAAGTTATTGTTGTGGAAACTTAGGAGATAATGCTGAAAGTAGTGCAGATTATGAAGGTCTGGCTTATGGAATTCCAGAGGAAAGCAGACTCTATCAAGGCCATTTGTTTGATATCTTGATTTAAGAACCTGTAGAGTGAAACCTTTGCTTTGTTGGGACAATTGATACTGGTCAGCTGTGGCTGAGGAATCAGCTGTGCTTACTAAGAAGCCAGTATCATGGAGGTGAAATCTTCTGGGAAGCATTTTTTTCAGTGTCAGCACACAGAATCTGTGTTCCAGAGTAGGGACAAGACTGTACCTTATGCTCGTAGCTAAACTCAGTAACGTGTGAGAATCTTTTAGGTGGTACTAGTTTTGAAGCCACGAGGAGGTCATGGGGAGAAGTTGAGGCTTGGAACAGTGATGGGATCAGAGTTCCTGAAGAGAGGCCAGGAAAGAGTGTTGGTGAGGGTGCAATCCAGTTGCAGCGGAGACCTCAGGATTTCAGAGATGCCCGGACCATGGGACAACCAACAAGAACAGCAGTGCTGATGGAGCAGAGCTGGCCTGAGCTAATGAGATAACCTGTGTGTGCTGTGGGTGGCAAAGCAGCACAGGTGGCACCGTCTGTGCCCCTTAGAGCCAAGAGGACTATGAGTGTGTCCTAGAAGTCTGTTGGACTTTGATTTTGCTTTGATCTGATTGGGACTGTGCCCTGGTTCTTCCCTCTTGGAAAAAGAGAGTAAGTGACTTTTTTTTTTTTTACAGGAGTCCACAGTTAAGAGGCCTTGAATTTTAAAGAGTTGCTGGCAGTTTAGAGAGATTATGGATATCTTAAGAAGGCTGTGGATATTCTAGAGAGACTGAAGAGTTTAGAGAGGCTTTGAACTTTGAAAGACATTTTAGATGTTCTAAAGAGATTGAACTTTAAAAGTGTTTGAATTTTTAAAGACTGTAGGACTTTTAAGAGTTGGAATGTGTTTTATATTGAGGTATTTATGTTATGTAAGATCTTGGTAAATATAAAATAACATGCTATCATGAGACTTTATCAAACAACCGCGGTGTTATCTGTCCCTTGTCCCTCATTTTCCTTCTGTATTGACCTCCATCCCTCCTTCCCAGTTAAAGCTCCCTCATCCTTATTTCTGTTACTCACATCATATCACCTGTGTCTTGGTTTTTCCCTCTCAAGTACCACCATCACTGTGGTCTCTTTATACTTTCCTGGCTTTTATGGTTACTCCATGTCATATACTCATGTCTGAGGATTTGGCCCCACCTAGGCCCATCCATTTACTTTCAAATTTTCTTTTTCTTTACAGCTGAATAATATTCCATTGTGTCTATGTTATCACACTCTTTATTGTGCATTCATTCACCTGCTAAAGCACTTAGGTTGTTTCCATATCTTGGCTACTGCGAATAGAGAGACAATGACCTTTGCTGATCAGGGATCTATGAAATAGAATGCCCAGTCTTTGGGGCGTATGTCAATAAGTGGGATAGCTGAGGCATAGGGCAGATTAGTTTTTAGTTTTTTGAGGATTCTCCATACTGATCTCCAGAGCAGCTGCCTCAATTTGCATTCCCACCAACTGTGAATGAGGGTTCCTCTTTCTCCACAACCTCACTGAGCACTTGTTTTGTTGATCTTGGCCATTCTGAGTGAGATGAGATGAAATCTCAAAGTTGCTTTAATTAGCATTTCTCTAATTGCTAAGAATGATCAACACTTCTTGAGGTATTTCTTAACCATTTTTGTTTCTTCTGCTGTGAGCTCTGTTTATATCCTTACCCCATTTTTTAATTGTGTCATTTGTTTCCTTAATTCTTTGGCTTTTGTTTTGTTGTTGTAGTTGTTGTATATTTGTTTGTTTTTAGAGTTTTTATTTTTTGGTTGATCTTTGTATAATCTGGATATTAATTCTTGGTCAGATGTGTGACTGACTCAGATGTGACTCTCCCATTCTGTGATTTTCTTCTTCACTTGACTGTTTTCTTAGCTGTACAGAAGCCTTTTAGTTTTATGAGGTCCCAGTTTTCAATTGTTGGCCTTAATTCCTTGGCAAATGAAGACCTTTTCAGAAAGGCCTTTCCTATACCTGTATCCTGTAGAATACTGCCTGTATTTTCTTCTAACATTTTTAGTGTTTTCTGTTTCAAATTGAGAGCTTTGGTGTATTTGGCTCTAATTTTTGTGCAGGATAGTAGATATGAGTCTAATTTCATTTGTCTGCCTGTGGAAACTTAGTTTTCACAGAGCCATTTCTTGAAGTTTTATTTCTTCAGTATATGTTTTGCCTCTTTGTCAAGTATCAGGTAGCTGTAGTTATGAGTATTCATGCTTGGGTCTACTATCTTATTCTATTGATCTGCACCTTTTTTTTTTAATCCAGTACCATATCATTCCGTAACATATCTTGAAATCTGGAATAGCAATTCCTCTAGTATTCTTTTTGCTCAGGATCTACTTAGCTATGTGAGATCTTTTCTGATTCCATGTGAATTTCAGGATGGGTACTGAAACATTTTTTTCTGCAAAAAATGTTGTGGGTACTTTAATTGGAATTGCATTGAATCTGTAAATTGTTTTTGGTAGGATGGTCATTTTTCACAATATTAATTCCAATGATGAATGAAGATGGCATATCTTTCCCTTTTCTAGTGTATGTAGAGATCAAAAGGTCCTTGTGAACACAGATAAGCACTGAAGAAGCCAGGAAAAGCTAAAAATGCAGCTCATCTCCCCAAAGAGAGAAGAAATTTGGCTGTTCTCCCAGAATGCTGAGGGAAAAAAATGTGTTTTACAGCCTAATAATCTTTTGTTACCTGTTTAACAAGGCTTCACCCATATTTCCCAGAATATTATGTTTGTTTATCCAGATTTCCCCCCAAAAAAAAAACGTGAGCATCACTTCTAAACCATAAGACTGATCCTTGTGAGAGATGTAATTTGTGCTTTATAACAGCCTATATTACTTCTGTGTTCTCTTAGGGCCAGGCCCCATCCTGACTCCCACATGCACTGTGTTTAGACTAGTCATTCTTCCAGACCCTTACCTTGAGCACTGTGTCTAAGTCAACAGAGCCCATCTTTGTTGACGTTATATGTACTTTGTAAAGATGGAATAAGCTTTGTTGTACTCGCTGGACTGAATTAACTGTTATGAGAGAACTTTTTTCCCCCCAAATTGTCCTGTGCTTAAATATGGCTAAAACAAATGAACCTGTGTCAGACTCTAGAAGTTTTGGCCCAGCACAGGTACCTAAATTGGGCTGAACTGAGTTTCATTCTTTAAAAAAAAAAACTTCTTATTGGTTCTTTGTGATTTCTCTTCATGAGTCCAAATCCCACTCAACTTTCCCTCCCCTTGTACCCACCCTCCAGCCTTGTAACATCCTCCTAACAGAGAAAAAAAATCTTGCTGTGGAAGCTTTACTGTGTCACAGTGTGTACCACAGCATACCTTTTTGCCCACACTTCTTTGCTTGCAAATACATATTGGAATGATTTGTTAGTCTGATACGAGGCCTCTGGCCTCTGCTGCTCTATCAATACTGGAACCTCACTGGGACTCTTCTTGGATATCCTGTTGTTGCCCTGTGTCATGGAGATTCTGTAGTTTTATATCTGTAAGACTGGCCCCTTCATACATTCCAGAAGTTCATCAAAGGGGTAGATGTTGGGCTGGGCTAATTCAAAGCCCTAGATCTGGGCCTGAGATGTAAATGAGCTGGTCATCCCACTGGCTTTCACACTCAAATGCCCTTGGGGCAGGTTCATCCACAACCCTGGCAACAAGGGTCAGCTCTATCCTGATGGCCAGGAAAGGGCCTGCTTTCTGGAGTGTTGCAGCCAGTGATGGACACAGCCAGTTCTTCTACTCACATGACCCTGGGGCCAGCTCTCCTGCCAACCATAGTGTCTGGGCTCATCTCAGAAGTGGTATGCCCAAGTCATGCATTATGCCAGGGGTCATCTCTGGCATGGGCTGCTCTCCCAGGCCTGCGTGGCACCAGACTGGTGATCATCTCATGCTAGCTCCCTGTCCAGGCCCCATAGCGCCAGTCTGGTGGTTGTCTCAGGCACGATTTTTTTCAGAGAATGTTAGACTACTAATCATCCAGATGTTCATAGGTCAGAGCCCTGAGCATAAACATAGCCTCTCTCCTCTCTGATACTTACTGACACACCTCTGACACAGCAGCCACACCTGCAATGCTCTAGGAGCAGGTTGAGTTTCATTCTCGTCTCTTCATGGACCATTGCCCTGACATCCAGAAGGCCTGCAGGGTCCCACACACAAATATACACACAAGTGTACTTATCAGTCTGTTTCTTCAGAGATTTGAAATTCATTGTAGAAGTCTTTCACTTTCTTGGTTAGGTTTACTTCAAGATATTTTATTGTCGCTGGTGCTATTGTGAGAAGGTTCTCATGATCTCTTTGTCAGTATGTTTTTTGGTGATATATAAAAGGGTCACTGATTTTTGTAAGCTGATTTTGTAACTTGCCATTTTGTTGAATTTTTTATTATTTCCAGAAGTTTCATGGTAGAACTTTGGGAATCTTTTATATATAATGTCATTTAAGTATATGTTGATATTTTATATATATGTGTGTGTAATATACATATATATGTGTAATATATATATATATATATTGCAGGATATATATATGTGTGTAATATATATACATATATATATATATGTATATATATATTGCAAGATATTTGATCCCATTGTGAACCCCAAGATTGTGAACTGTAAAATCCTGTTTCTTGTTTTGTGTAGCTCAGCCGTAACACACACATAAACAAGTACTTATGGTTTTGGCTCAGCCCTAGCACACACCTTTAATCCAAGAGCTAAATAAAGTCAACCCTAAATCAAGAGGCAGAGCAAGAAACCAGCTGACAGGAGTAAACAGAAAAAAGAGACATTGAGAGAAGGGTATTTAAGACAGCATGGAGAAGAAGAAAGGGCTTTGGCTTTTTCCTTTGAAGATGTGAGCTGAGTAGGAAGACTTTTTCTTTCTAGGTTATCAGCTGAGTAGGAAGATCAGCTGGGTACTTTCTTAGCCTCTCTGAGCTATCAAGTTTTCACCCCAGCATCTGGCTCCTGAGTCTCCTAGTAAAATCAATCATCATATATATGTGTGTGTGTGTGTGTGTGTGTGTGTGTGTGTGTGTGTATACATATATGTGTATATTGTTTATTTTTCTTTTTTTCTTTATTAATTACACTTTATTCACTTTGTATCCCCCTGTGGTTCTCTCCCTCCTCCCGTCCCATTCCCTCCCTTCCTCCACCCTCTGCATGCATGCCTCTCCCCAAGTTCACTGATGGAGGAGGACTTCTTTTCCTTCCTTCTGATCCTAGTCAATTAGGTCTCATCAGGAGTGGCTGTGTTGTCTTCTTCTGTGGCCTGGTAATGCTGCTTCCCCCTCAGGGGGAGGTAATTAAAGAGCAGGCCAATCAGTTCATGTCAGAGGCAGTCCCTGTTCCTATTACAATGGAACCCACTTGGATACTGAACTGCCATGGGCTACATCTGTGCAGGGGTCTTAGGTTATCTCCATGCATAGTCCTTGGTTGGAAGAGCAGTCTCAGAAAAGACCCCTGTGCTCAGATTTTTTGGTTCTGTTGCTCTCCTTGTGGAGCTCCTGACCCCTCCAGGTGTTTCATAAGATTCCCTGCACTCTGCCCAAAGGTTGCCCATAAGTCTCGCATCTACATTGATAGTCTGTAGGGCAGAACTTTTCAGAGGTCCTCTGTGTCAGGCTCCTGACTTGTTCCCTCTTTTCTCCTTCTTCTGATGTCCAGCCTCTTTGTCTTTCTGGATAGGAATTGAGCATTTTAGCAAGAGTCCTCCCTCTTGATTAGTTTCTTTAGGTGTACAGATTTTAGTAGGTTTATCCTATATTATATGTCTATATAAGTGAGTATATACCGTGTGCATCTTTCTGCTTCTGGGATAGCTCACTCAGGATGATCTTTTCCAGATCCCACCATTAACCTGCAAATTTCATGATTTCCTTGTTTTTTATTGCTGAGTAATATTCCATTGTGTAGATATACCACAATTTGTGCATCCATTCCTCCACTGAGGGGCATCTGGGCTGTCATCTTCAACAAATGGTGCTGGTCTAACTGAAAGTCTACATGTAGAAAAATGCAAATAGATCCATACTTGTCACCCTGCACAAAACTAAAGTCCAAGTGGATCAAAGACCTCAACATAAAATCAGACACACTAAACTGCTTAGAAGAAAAAGTGGGGAATACCGGTGAACTCATTGGCACAGGAGACAACTTCCTGAACAGAACACCAACAGCACAGGCTCTAAGAGCAACAATAAATAAATGGGACCTCATGAAACGGAAAAGCTTCTGTAAAGAAAAGGACACTGTCCTCAGAACAAAACAACAGCCTACAGATTGGGAAAGGATCTTCACCAACCCTATATCTGACAGAGGGCTAATATCCAGTATATATAAAGAACTAATGAAGTTAAACAGCAAAAAATCAAGTAATCCAATTAAAAAATGGGGTACAGAGTTAAACACAGAATTCTCTGCAGAGGAATATCGAGTGGCAGAGAAACACTTAAAGAAATGCTCAACCTCATTAGCCATCAGGGAAATGCAAATCAAAATGACCCTAAGATTTCACCTTACACCCATCAGAATGGCTAAGATCAAAAACTCAAGAGACAACACATGCTGGAGAGGTTGTGGAGAAAGGGGAACCCTCCTCTACTGCTGGTGGGAATGTAAACTTGTACAACCACTCTGGAAAGCAATCTGGCGCTTTCTCAGACAACTAGGAATAGCGCTTCCTCAAGATCCAGCTATACCACTCCTAGCCATATATCCAAAAGATTCTCAAGTACACAATAAGGACATTTGCTCAACCATGTTTGTAGCAGCCTTATATATTGTTTTAAAACAACATATTATGATTTTATATATAATTTGTATATATGAGATATATATATTAAAGTTAAGTTACTTGGATTGACATCTCCCCATAAAGGCTATAGACAACAAAAACCCAAGTACTTGGCAGGGGAAATATCCTTTCAAATGATTCTTCAGGGTAACACAAGTGACTCCCAAAACAATATAGATTTTAGATTTAGCCATTGGTTGTTTCTCAGGGGTTAAGAGTGGGCCTCTACCACTGAAAACACTGCACACTTAAGACATAGGACTTGTACGATATAAGCTGGGTTTGATCTTAAAGCCTTTTCCCTGTGATCTTGCTTCCATATTTTTAGAAAATACTATACCAACTGCCAAGGGAGAGAAGTAATTAACAGTACTGCTCAGCTGCAACACCTTTGAACCGTGACAATTACCAACATGGCAAGATATGCATAAAGGTGCAGTAAGTGGTACTCACATGTCAATGGCAACTAACAACTGTTTAATTGGATACTGTCTAATTGCCCACTCAAAAGCAGGGAAATCATCCCTGGTACTGGAAATCTAGCCAGCCTCCTGGAACTAGTAATGTCGTGGACTTAGAATACAATCTACTACCGCCATTTTACTAGAGCAGCGTAATTCCTTCCTGCATTCTAAATCTTACCCTTATACCACGGTTAAGCTTAGCTACCATCCCCTCATCAAAGAATTCTGTCTTTATAGCAAATGGAGACCATCACAGAAAAACCTAACTGGACACATGCAGAGATCAGCACATCCTGGGAAACCCAGCCCGAATGGAATCATCTATGGCTCAGAGAACCTCACAGAAGGTGAGGTTAAAAATATCAGAAGAGTCACAGTGCAAGGAAGTCTGTTGTGAAACAGTACCTCCCAGAAATGGTTGCTAAACAAAATCAAAATAGTGACAATGCCAATGGACATATTGACATGGAAGAGGAAATCTTTCTCTAGACAAAGACCTATAGTCAACTAATGATTGCAGGGGGAGCCAGTTAGACCCTCTCAGAGATGAGCCCCCTTATTGGTTGTCCAGTGCAAAGCAGACATCCCTGAAATCATATACATACCACCAAAGAAAAGGAATCAGCAGGTTACACACATGTGTGTTTGTGCAGACACATGGACAACATACACATGCATGTATATACCAATATAGTCAAGAAAAAGAAGTTATCAAATGGAGGATGACTGAGCATGAAGGGGTTCAAGGAACGGTAGCTGGTAGTGGTTGGAGGGAAGAAAGGGAGAAGAAAAGTTGATGCGATTCTATTTCAATTAAAAACGTTTGAAAATTTGATGTAAACACCAAAAAAGGAAAGGTTGTAGTTTAATACTGATATATTTGTGTGTCACGTTGACAAAGCATCAATTGTCCTCGTTAGGTTTTATCTTGTTTTGGTATTTTTGTTTGGTTGTCGTTGTTTGTTTTTGTTTTGTTTTTTGTTTGTTTGATTTTTGTCAACATGACAGAAGCTAGAGTCATTTTAAAAGAGGGAAACACAATTGAGAAAATTTTCCCACTAGATTATCCCATGGCAAGCCTGTGGGACATTTTCTTGATTAATGAATGATGTTAATGGGTCCAGCTCATTGGGGGGTGGGGGTGGGGTGGGCAGAGTGCTAATCCTGGGAAGTCCTAGATAGTGAAAGAAAGCAGGCTGAGTGTGCCATGAAGAGGAACCTGTGAACAGAGTTTCTCCATAGCCTCTGCATCAGTCCCTGCATAGAGTTCCTGCCCTGACTTTTCTCAGGGGTAGATCGTCGCCTAGAAGTGTGAGCCGAAATAAACCCTTTCCTCTCAAGATGCTTTTGGTCATGAGGTTTGATCACAGCAATAGAAAAGTAACCAAGACATGTATTTACAAGAGAAATTAGCATTAACAGTGACATAGCTCAGCAGTACTCAATGCAGAAAGCCCATTTGAAGCCTTTCAGGGAAGTGTCAGCCAGTCTTTATTCATAGTCTTTCAGTGGCAGAAATGCACCATAGAGAGGAATAAGAACACAGATACTGCAGCCAAACTACAGGGCCGACAATTACTGACTGTGGCACTTTGAATATGTTACCTAATATCACTATGCCTTGAGTTCTTATTATTCTTATTAGAATGCTATCATAAAGATTAAATGCATACATATTTATAAACATGCATACTTATGTAATCATATTTACACATAACACATAATTGGATATATAAATGCACATGTATTTATTCACAAAGAATAATCACAAAAGCAAAGTGAAGTGTCCATAAAGGGAGTCTACTATGGAGAGGA